CCCTGATGCTTCGGCTAGAACATTTTCTTGCGTAATTCGTACACCCAAGGGCAGAAGGATTTAATCGCCGTCAGGTCCGAAGTCCATACGACGCCTCAGCTCTGCGGATGTCTCGGGGGTATGGCAAAATTGAATCGATTTTTTCTTTTCTTTTTTTTTTTTTCTGTCGGTGGTTTCAAACCCCATCGTATCCAGATAAGATTTTCTTTTTTTTAATGTATATTATCATCAATTTGGTAATGTCTTTTTAGAAATAGTGGCCACCCTTTTTGCTCATTATCTGAATTATATATAACGGTAAAGTAAACGATAGCCAAAGTGCACAAGCACGAATCTCTAGCACAAAGCATGATGTGAAACCGAGATCTTTAAAAATTCCTCTGACAATTTTTCCTTCGACATTTTCTATGAAACAGTAAGTATTTCAACAGACGAAAATAAAAGAGTGATTTTTTGTGATAATCCTATTGGTTTCTTTGTTCCAATTTGTGTAGTACTYGCTTTCCCATCATGCATTGTGCTAGAGATTCGTGCTCGTGCACATTGGCTGTTAATCTCGATCGGAAAAATCGAATGTTTATATTTTAATTCTTTATATCATTTCTGTTATTAATATGGTAAGGGTCCAGCATTTCTCAGTCCAAATCCACCTTTTCGGCGCTAGCTTGGATTGCGTTACGGTTACCAAAAAGTTCGGACATCGTTCTCGGATTTCCATACAAATTCACTGAGTTTAAAGAGAAAATTTAGGTAGATTTCTTTTAGCTCTCTTAACAGCAGTAAGAAAAGTTTCAATCAAGCTAGAAAAATGATTATTTACTTGTATTTAGAGAACTAACTAAACAAACCAAGTAAATAGTTCATTTAGAGTCAGTACATTTGTACGGAAATTCAAGAACATTAATGTCCGAACGTTTTGGTGACCGTAACACAATTCAAAAGAATTTTATACCACGTGACGGCTTGCGCCAAAAAGGCGAATTGGAAARCCCTACACCTAGTAACATTGTAAACTAAAATAAAACCGGTTGAATTTTGAGCTTTGGGAATTTCTCAACATGAATAAATTAATAAATATGAGATGACGTAAATTCAAGACTAATTTATGATACAAAAATGCTGTTGTGGAAAGTACTGGAAAGTACTGTTTTTTGTTGTTTTGTTTTGCTTTTGTTTTTGTTTTGTTTGTTTGTTTTTTTTTTTTCATTTGCAAATCATCCTCATAGCTGAAATATATGGCTTTGTACACTTTTAGGTTATTTCAAATGTTTATCGTAAGAGAGAAGACCACATACAAAAATACTGCAACCATACTACTACACTGTTTACATAAAATTCTTTTTGAAAATATAGTTTTTTCCTTGATATAAACTTTAAGTGTAGCGACGTAAACAGATGCTTTTTTTATCGAACGGTACTCTGTAAGTTCTCAAGGAACTATGAAGCTAGGATTAGGAAATTATCTGTAAATATATGATTAAGTTGTGGTTAAACATCATAAAATATCAATATTAAAAATGTATGTAGATTATATAGAATATTTATCTATATTTATCGTGAAATCTCTTGTTGGAATTGGTTCTTAAGTGTAGCGACGTAAACAAATGTCTTTTTAACGAACGCTTCTAGGTTCTTAAAAATGTACCTAGAAAATAAATTTGATAAAGTTATGAGCTATATATCGTGAAAACTGTGTGTTCTACGAAGCCCTGAAATAAATTACCAAAAATGCTTGGGTATTGTACTTCAAACTTTCTCGAATTCAAAAAATGGCATTTCATGATCTCTTAAAGTCAGGGCTTGGCTAACTTACAGGAATTAAAACCAGAGAATCCAGAGAAAGCTTGAATCAAGAGTGGATTCGAAATCCATTAAACTGTACTTACATGTGAAGCTGAGTCCAGAATTCGAAGTTAAGATCTCGACGAGTACGTGAACTATACTTTATTCTTTCTTCTAGTGAATTTGTTTATGAAAATAAACATCATTCAACTTTAATATTAAAAGCTTAGATCTTGTCACCTAATCTTTGCAGCCACCTGTTCGAGTCTCGTGGTTGCTTCGAGCCATTTTTAAGAGACTAATTAAACTTGGACTAAATATGACAGCGTTCAATTTTATTTGTTTTGCTACTGAATAAAATAAAACAAGTTTCTAAATTCTCAATTCTTAAATAAATTCTCATTTCTAAAGTTACTGTCCACGGAAGAATGACGGCCTGATGTAGCTAGCAGTGAAATCTGTATATTCGACAGGTATAGTTGTTAAAAAATATCGACGTTAATTTTAAGGGGGTAATATCGATAGCCGGCGAGTGCTCAAAGAAGTTGTGGGCCAGGAAAAAGTACGCCACCCATCGCCTTCTTTGAAAACAATTTCAATAAAATTTGATGAAGCGAAAAAAAAAATCCCCTCTAGATTACTATCCTATTATTTTCACTTTGGAACAATCCGAGCACAATTTTAATATTTCTGTCGACTTCATCAAAATTAAACCCCAGAGACGCAATTKCCGTTCTTTACTTACACCTACTTGCAAGAAAGTTGTCATACAAGAATAGAACATTTGTAATTTAGTAACTTAGTGATTTAGTAAATTTACCGATTAGGAATAAATTATCACTGACGTCAGACTCGAATTCATCAGTAAGAAAAAAAAATAATTTTGGACATGATGTAACCGGCATGCAGATTTAAATATAGCGGCTACCTGTGGGTGATTTGGCGGAGCGTGCATGATTTTTGAAGCAAACTTTGATTTCCAGTTTAGCTACAGGTAGCCCAAGCTTGGTTTCTGTGGTGTCATGTTATAAGGAAATGCATAGGGATTATTTCTTACTGGTGGGGGAAAAAATCCTTAAAACGGGCTAAATTCAAAAAATAACCACACAGAGCGAAAGAAGTGCTATTTCTCAATGATCGGGTAAAATTTCAAGGCTTTATTTCAATGATTTTATTGAAATTTGTGAAGAATCCCAATACATTTCCTTATTACATGACACCACAGAAACCAAGCTTGGGCTACCTGTGGTTTTGCGAAAAGCGAACCACTCAGCCATAGATATCCAAAAGGCACCACACTAACACCTGTTCTTGAGATCTACGGGCATTAGTTGCCTGGATAGTGAAGCCAGAGCCTGAGAGAATTTTTTCCCGGGTAGACGGGGGACTGGTTAGCGTATTATGATATAGATTCCTTTAAGCTGTCTTCAAAGCCGGTAAATCGTATAAAAAATTAAACTAGGCTTTTTTTTAATAAAACAATATTTGGGGATTATCTTCCCGACAACAGACTTAACTTTACTTAAATTACTACGATTATAGTTAAAGTGCGACCCGCGAAGTTTGATGTCTTGTTCACCGACAAGCATTTCAACGACTTCAATCGAACTGAAATGAAAAATCTTTGCACACCTGCATTTCCCTTGGACCTTTGCGCACCTACTTTTCCTTTGTCCTTTGCACGCCTGCATTTCCCTTGTTCCTTTGCGCACCTGCATTTTCTTTGGTTCTTTGCGCACCTTTATTTTCCTTGTTCCTTTGCACACCKGCATTTCCCTTGGTGCTTTGCGCACCTGTATTTTCCTTGATGCTTTGCGCACCCATTATTCGCATGCCACTTCATAATAGGACTAAAATAGAATAATAAAATAAAATAATAAATGGGATTTAACAGTGGCATTTCTACAGAGTAGCTCTTCATCCACTGTAATTCCAATTGGAATTTAGGAGTTGATTTTTGCGGAGGTAGGAAAACCGGAGTACCCGGAAAACCCTCGAAGCACAGGAAAGAACCAACAAACAACTCTACTCACATACGACACTGAGCTCATGTTATACTTATTTACAGATTATACTCTGATTTATCATCAACTTAAGCTTTATAAATCCCTATTTTCTTACAGCGATAAAAGTTATGAATCGAATTTCTAAAACATTTTTCGTATAGGAAATCGAATGATTTCAAATGCAATTTGAAAAAAATCAGCACGAGTTAAGCTTAAAAATTAAAATGTTRAATTGCACGAGCCTTCTCAGGCTATTTTTCTTAATTTTCAAGCTTCACGAGCATCAAAAATATTTAGATCAAATACAAATTCTCATTTCATGGCGTGCGTTCGTATGATGAAGCGAAATTTACTTCGGTTTTTTGTTGTTAAAAATACTACTACTAATAATGACATAAAAGACATTGATTTTAAATGTAAATATCTTTTTTTAGCTTTTTTTTGCACAGTGATTTCGCGTTTTTGCACTGTGATTTGGGAAAAATCACCGAGTAGCCAGCCAATCAGAATCGAGGATTTTTAATGGTCAGGTTATTAGTACCAAAATCACTGATACATATGTATCGAGCCTTTGAGAGAAAACTTGTTTATTCAATATCTTTTTATCTTTTAAACATTTTACCCTCGGGCTCGCCCCTTCAAGTACTTGTTTTGATGTTTTAATGAGATAATTATCCTCTCGCTTTCACCTAAGACAGATAAGTGTCTCAGTAACAAGTGTTTAGTCCGCCCTTCTATTCCAGGTCCCGTCCACACGTATCCGGAAATTTTTGTATCTGCAGATTATTTTTTGCGGATACGAAAATGTTTGCGTCCACACGCAGCGTATTCGAATCGTTTTCACCGTCCACACGTRTTCGTTTTCGTAAAATTTGCGGATACGGACACAAAAGTTTGCGGACACGTGTGGACGCAACCCGTATCCGTAAAGAATAATTTGCGGATAAAAAAWTTTCCGGATACGCGTGGACGGGGCCCCAGTCATACACGTTTTATATATTGATGGGTTGCAAGCATTCCCAAGAGAGTTAAAAGACAAAAACATGGCGGCCATTGTGGTACCATTAACAATGGATGCTAATGAGAAATCTTTTGTTAAATGGTACCAACATGGCCGCGATGACGTAACGTGCAATCGAAGAATTGATGTTCCCACACACAAGTGGATATTCAAAATAATACATGATATGATGAATCTTGTATTCATCACTAATTTATGTGGAACGATTGTCTACTCTTTCCATTGCTTTGTATTGTTTTCTGACGAGGAATGTATTATTTTACACGAGGAATGTAGTAAAAGGGTTATTTTATGTGATTGACCAATGAGAGGGCGAAGGGAAGCAGGCCCGTGGAACCGTTGTCGAATCGTTCTATTGTTTTGTTCATATTGTTTCTCGTTCAATTGTATTCATATAATGGGGTTAGTTCTCTTTAGACCTGCAACTTTGCACGTGGAGCTTTACTTCCGTCCAGATCTTGATGGATGCGCCTTCGGCTGGCTATATTTTGGAAATTTGAAGCTGAATAGCTTCTCGGTAAAAATATAAATGCCGTTCAAAAAAGCATTCCCCACGAAAGAAGTTTGTCGGTTTGTCCCTGTGAAGTTTTAGAATTGCAGTCCGTTTGTTTTTGAGGGAGAAATGAGGCATCGAGTCGATCGTCTACCGGTGGCGACTGGAGTCTCCGTCCTTCTCATTATTTATATTGTTAGGCCCATAAAAAGACTAAAACTTATCGGATTGGCCCCAAATCGCGTACAGAGACAAAGAACAGCAGCAAAAACAACCAGGCAAACATGGGTAAGCTGACTACAAATTTATTAAAGATATTATTACGACATTCACAGCCTTCCATACATCGGTTCACTGGTCAAACACAAAGCATTCAGTCAAGGTTGCAAGGTTCAAATTTGAATGATCGTTTCAAAGTACCTTGGCGCCTCGCTTGAGCGCGTTGTGTTTGACCAGTGAACCAACGTATGGAAAATTGTGAATGAGATTCCACATGCATTCTCTTTGTAATGCAATACAAGTACATTGTTTGGACTTCCTGTGGTTGAATTCTCTAGAATATTCAGATTTGCAAACGAGGAGTTTTCTTTCCACATTTTGAATTATCAACTTTTCGTTACGTTTTTACTTTTAAATCCAGTTCTGAGGTTGTCGCAAGAAACAACACAAGCTTTATTTTTCTCTTGCGTCTCCAACGTAGTCTTTTTTGCAGCCGTCCTTAGTGTCGATCCGAACGCTTCCATCCCCTGGGATTTTCGGACTGCCACTAAGAACGGCTGCAAAGGAGTCTACCTCCAATTTAACAACAACTGACGATTGCAATTGCGTTTTCTGGAGCGGCAACAATGTGGCACGTAGAGCGGAAGACGTGTTAGAGTTAATAATCGCCTTTTATACACGTTTTAAATTTTTTCCCTTACAATAATATTATCAGCACGCGAAGAATATCTGTCACGTTTTGSACATAATATTAACGATACTATAGAGTAATCCGACATATCAAGCTATGCCATTTTGGAGTGCCATCACGTTTTAGAAATCAATTATTTTCTCCCGCAAAGGCAATGGCTCCGTGTTATCTTCCTGATACGAAAACTTGCTCAAGTACGACGGAGAGATTATATCCCAACTGTCACACTGTGTAGCCTTTTTCTGTCTCGCAATTTAGCAAACTAGCCAGCCTAATGGTACCAAATCTACTTAGCTGTCGGAAGCCAGCTGAGACTTACTTATTCTCGCGTCTGATGGCTATATTCTCTGTACACTTCTATATTCTGAGCAAACTTTGTGCGTTTTTTTTCTAAAAAAGAAGAAAGAAAAGAAAAAACGAAAGAAAAGAAAAGTAGATGTCTATTTTCCTTGTCTCACACGCCCTGCCTTACCCACACGGGCCTCTGGCACCCAGGGTAGCCCTGGCTTGATGACATCTTAATTTTTTCAAATTTTATTTTCTTAAGTAGGACGAAAGTAAAATATGATGTAAATAGTTGAAACAGCGGGTTGGAAGGTGTAAATGCTACAGTATGTTACAGTAACTCGATTATAAAACCGGCGCTTTGTGATTGGTTAAGACAGACATCAGAAGCCACTATAGTGTTCTGGAATTACACTTTACGCGCCTGAAGCCACCGTCTTGTTCTCTTCTCCCTTCTCATTTTAATTCCGCTAGAAGCATCCACGCTTAAACAGCTGTCACATACAAAATGTGTTGTTTCTCTTTCGGACTCTTTGTTTTTCTTACACTTTGTGAACTACTGATTTCAAAGGTTTTTCTTGAGCTCCGTGAACGCCTCTTATGTTTCTTCCGAATGGCATTCTGTCGTTCAGCTACAAGTGAATTGATCCTCAAAGCGTATACAATCAAGCAGCAATGACATTCTCTTCCAATACATAACTCAATTCCTCGTACATTCGATCCTATTTGTATGCTTATTTGACGGAAAATGAACGGGTCAACAGCGCTATTAACGTAAGTCAAGATGTTACTAAAAACAAGAATCTCCCGAAAGTTTTTGTTCTTCCACCCATTACCAAAGTCATGCCACAGCCACATCACGTGGTTAGGAAACATGCAAACTGTAAACACTACAAAAGCCAGGATGAAAATCTTGGTTATTTGTAGTTTTTGAAGTGCGCGCTTTTGCGCATAGATAGCATGCGTTCTACTGCGAGTGTCGCTCATCTTTCTGAACCGAACAAGATCTCTTTGTAACTTTCTCCCCGCGCGAATGTAAGAAAATCCAATCGCGAAGAGCGGGATAACGAAGAAGAGAACAAAAACGGATAAAGTAAAGACCTTAACGTACCAATTTTCCGGCCAGATTTCGAGGCAGTGTTTTCCTTCTAGACGTAGAACTAGTGCATAAGGTGTGATAACAATAACTGGGACAGCCCAAGCTAAAATGATGCAGAACTTGGCTATTTGTGCCGTCATGCGCGGTCGAAGAGGAGCCATAACGATGCGGTATCTCTCTAGACTCATGCACAAAAGAGTTATCACTGATACCGCCATCAGTATTGTCTGAAAAGGGTAGATCATAAAACACATGATTGAACCGAATGGGAAATCTCCAGTTACGCGTTCAATGAAATCAAAAGGTACACTGATCAAACACGTTGCTAAATCAGTAACCGCTAGATTCGCGATTAAATATTCGCTGATTCTTCGCTGYTTATTCGTGAACACATTCCAGCAAATAATCCCATTTCCGAAACTTCCAACGACAATGATTGTACAGTAGAGAATCATTTGGATGACCCATATCGGCGTTCTTCTCTCACTAATGTCTTCACTGGCGGTTGTAGAATTTACCATTTTGACCACTGCTTGTAAAACTTCCAAGAACCAGATTATGTCTAACCTGAACTGCCAACTATCTCTCTACAGAAATTCAGTTATGAAGCGACGTCGGATCCTAGACTTYGATTCTAAGTGCTCATCCAATATAAGATATAAGATATAAGATCCTGCCTTTCTGAGTTATGCGCACAAATGGCTTTAAAGTATCTGCTGCAGCAGTTTCTAAAACCACAAAAAAATTGTTTAGTTTTTGTTTAGTGTTACTTGGTCATAATGGATAGCTTGGGGGAATGAAATTAGAGGAATCAATGAAGAAAGATGTTCTCCTGAAAGTGGATTTTTCTTTTAAATTGTATTCAATAAAATTCAAGTTAAGACTTCCTCCTTATATATTTGTCTCAAAAACTAAAATYTTAAATACAAACCTGTTTGGTATAGAGATCACTTAGTCGAATTTTTTTTTAAGCAACATAGACAAGGCTGGAGATTTCTGGAGATCTCGCCTGAGGGTCGCTCCTTATAAAAAGCATGCGTCATTCCACCGTGCGCGTTGCCATGGTGAATACATTAGWTTGGCTTCCCTGCTTAGGGATTTTTCGCTGTTTTTAAGTCTTAACAAAGGCGTCATAATATTGATTCGCGGTATCATAATGTAGATGACTTTTAAAGCATTTTGAGCCTTTCGGGTTTTTGATCAGCCAAAAGGCTGAAGTCAATCTCTGAGATCTTTTTGAGACTTTGTTGTTGTTTTTAAATGGATTAAGCAGCTGTCGGGTATTTGCCGGTTTATCTACATCCGCGAAGCCAATAATTATAACCCACAATAACGACAAAACCTCAAGCAAGTGCCATCATATTTTGTCATAATAAAGTTATAACATCAATATTATTTTATTTTGTTTTATTTGCTTTTTTTTTTTTTTTTTTTTTTTTTTTTTGTCTTCTTCTTTTTTTCTAATTTTCTTGTTTCATTTTCTTCTTTTTCTCTCGGATGTTTTTCCCTCTATCAAACAATCTAATCTACCTTAATCTTTATTATTTTTAGAATGAAAACAAATCCTGTTTGTCGTCTTCCTTTTTTCGTCTTTTCTTCTAAAAACTTAATCGCATGGCGGAAGCTAACGTCTGAAGATATCGACCAAAAAAATATCCATTTTTCCCTCAATTAAACTTTAATTACTCTTAAAGTCTCTTCAATACTTATCCATCATTAATATAAAAGACTACTATTAGAATAATTAATAGGCTTCCGAAAACACTCKGCTTTCTTAAAATGCCTAGTACATGTTCGAGGCCAACTGACTTATCTGCTTTTCTCTTGACTATTTTCATTGGGGATTTTAGGATTTTTTGTTCAAAATTCAAAGATGTATAATAAGTTAAGTTGAGGCTTTTTGACAAATTTTAAGATATAAATATCAGAACCAGTGAATAAAATTCAGGTAATTTTTATCGAAATTYAGTAAAAACTTTATCAAATTGTTCTTTGTTCAAAAGTCAAATATGTATAATGAGTGAAAGATGTTTTGTCAAAACTATTTTTGACAAACATTCAGAATATATAAATATCGCAAATTAAGTGAAATTCAGTGAAATTTTATCAGATAGACGGTCGATCACAAAGTAAGACAGAGTGGTATGACGTCATCACTCGACTTGTAATGCTTTGAAGTRTTTTTATTTTAGATCAAAACGAGCAGGACTTGAAAGATTAAAGATTGTAAGACATGAGGAGATTAGATTAGTCCAGGGTTGAACACTCAGAATGTGTTTTAAATATGATGAATTCGAATGAAATGAAGGAGGAAAGGAAGAATTAGTACATGAGTAGGTGAATGAAAGACAGACAGATGGATGGATGGATGGATGGATGGACGGATGGAAGGACGGACGGACGGACGGATGGACGGACGAACGGACGGACGGACGGACGGACGGACGGAAGGATGGATGGAGGCATAAATGGAAGGGAAGAT